ATCTAACCCCAAAAATTTATCATATATTGTAACCATTTACCCAGAGCAGAGGCGAAATGGGATACAATGTACCTAGCCCTATCAAATTAATCACGGCAAATCTTTATGTCATATCACTTATTAATAATTTTTTCATTAACTTTATTGAACAAAAACAACAAATTAGCCGCATCTGATCCTTGGGACCAAGTGGTCTCTGATCACATGATGCATTCCCTTACCCCGAGCAGGGTTCTACCCGCACCATGTACTCTTGTTTAAAGAAAAAAAATAAAAACAACAAATTAACCATTCTTTTTTTTGAACATAACGAAAATGGATCAATTCAAACACTGCCATACGGCATCTACAGAATAAATAAACAGTAAAAATACAACAGGAGCAAGAAATTAGAGTAGACCCAAATCCAGAGGCCGAAGGGAGGTGCACATGACACTCGAACAACCACTAAGGACCTAGCTATACCGCGGCCTTCGGTCGAGCGATCCGAACGGGACACCCTTCAATCTACCCATGTGGAAGGTGCGCCAGGCTCCCGGATGCCGATGCAGAGACCCGATCTGGCGGAGGCAGCAGGTGGGTCGCGAGGTTGCCAGATCTGGGATCCCCCGCGTGCAACCCCACCGAGAAGCTACCGGATGGAGGGACCACCGCCGAATCCACAAACAACCCAAAAAAACAACGAACCCCTAACAAGATCTGCAGGAGAGAGCGAGAGTCGCCAGATCTGAAAAACAAACTATACAAGAAACATAAAAACCAAACAACAAGAACAAACAAGAAAACCAAAGAGGTCACCAAAGGGGACCCAAAAACCGACAGACCCGGGAGGGTCGTCGGAGGGGGGAGCACAGGGCGGCTCCAACCATGCTTGAACGGCCAAGAAACCCGACGGCTCAAGCATCAAAACCTCGAAAGCTCAAAGGCTTCCGAGCAAAAACAACACAGCGACGGAGAAGGGAGGCAGAGGCAGGAGAGAAGGGAGAGAAAAGGGGGAAAGAGAGAGCAATTAACCATTCTTTATGTTGTATTACTTTGACAATTTTATCATGTGACCTTAATTACTTTTATTGCGGAGGCGAAATGAGATACAATGTACCTAGCCCTATCAAATTAATCACGGCATATACTTTGTGTCATATCACTCATTAATAACTTTTTCATTTAACTTTATTGAACAAAAACAACAAATTAACCATTCTTTATGTCGTATTACTTTGACAATTTTATTATGTGACCTTAATCGTAATTAACGGACTGGCATTGTCCGAATAAGAAAGATTCTAGACTGAAGGCACAATTTAACTTCTTTACTTTAATTGTTGTGACATATCAACCCTTCTATCGGATTTCTTCCCTTTATAACACCCTTGAACAAATGGGCAAGGTGGATAAACGGTACAAGCTTGACTTAAGCGCATCATTAATGATGATTTCAATTAGTCTTATTTTAAAGACGGTTAGGCCTTTAGTTGGAGATGGTTACAAACTACGTGAGCCTCCCAACGAAGCCAACATAAATCCTATCCGAATTAAAAAAAATAAAAGGCAGTTTCGGTGGTGCAAATTGACCCTCAACTTTATCAAAAATCCGCAAGGCAGCCCTTTTGTTAAGGATGATGTCATCTTTCCGTCTTACTTTCCATTGCCCCGTTAACCTCAGCTTACTTGGCATCGACTGAGTGGGCATGATTAGGCGATTTTTGACAACTTGGCATGACGTCTTTCTTTGACCTTCGTTTCTTTCCATAGTATACACAATAAATTTTGAATTAATATGTAAAGAGCGGTGATATATACACTAAAGTTTAAAATTAATGATATATTATAAATTATAAGTTTTAAAAAAATAAAAAATTTATTATTAAATAATATAATTATAT